CATGTAATCATCAACGATTTTTTGAAAGCTTTGAAATGAAAGAAACAAAAAAACTAGCAAAGAATTTGAAGCCATATTATGGAAGATAAAATAACAGAATTTTTTATTAATCAATCTAATTTATTAAACGTACGTACATACATTACATATTAATCAGTATAATTTTTAAAACTACGTATGTTACATCTTAATCAGTATAAATTTTACTCAGGTACGTTAATTTTGAATTAACGGTTGTTTAAAAGCAACGTACAAATATATATATATATATATATATATATATATATATTGTCAAAAAGAAAAATTTCAGATCCTCCACAAATAATAAATAAAATTTGTTACTCTATTAATATTGTATTTGTATCTAAATCTCAAATCTATTATCTGCTTAAATAATTATTTTAATATTTACACACTTAATAAAAAAAAACAAAATTATTACTAATCGAATTTTCACCTTGTAACGGGAAAATGCAAAAATTTTTCAAATTTGTGATCTTCTCTAGTAACAAAAATAAAGCTTATTATGTTTGAGTTGATGTTTATATTAAGGCCAGATGTTAGTATAATAATAGAAAATTGCGGTTATTTATACACAAAAAAGGGACTAGTTATGTAATTTTTTGAAAAAAACTATTTTTCCATTGTGTTTTGAACTTTTCTAGTCATTTCTATGTCACACTAAATAGTGCTTAACAGTTAGATAAATGTCTGTGATTATTTTATATGTCTGTAAATTTATGATTATTTTATTGGCAACCCTGGTTTGGTTGGAATCATGAATTGTATATGTCGTAGTTAGTGGTTTGAACCGAGAAAAATTACCTAAATCGAACAACTAAATCATTCAACCGGTTAAGATATTAAGTTTACCTTTACTTCTTCTTAGGTCATTTTAATATACTATATCGACCCCGCCAATTGATTACTCAATTCTCAACTAGTTAAGAATTATCTCAACCAGTTAGGCAAAATTTATTTGGCATGGGTCGATTAACCGATTATAGCCCAACTGATTCAAGTCACTAATCATAGGTGAGAACAGAATTTAAGTTGATTCAGAATTTTTATGGTTAGGGTTAAGATTTTTTGTTAATTATTCCGTCCTAATCTAAGTGGATTCTGAATCTATTATAATTCTATTTCCACATACAACTTATATAGAAATTGAGAAATTCAATTTCTTAAATAATAGTATCTTTCTATTTAAAAAATAATCATATATATTTATTTCTAATAACAATAAAATAATAAAAAAGTTCTAACACTTTAAATTGCTCGTGCAGCTCATTTTACTATTAACTTTTTTTTTACTTCATTTATTTTGATAACTTTTATAAAGATATGCAACATTTGTACACTGTCGATATGAATTTTTCACATCTAGACTATAATAAAAATTTAAATTGGGGAAACGATAATTAAAGAGATAAGCCACAATTAAGCAATTAGATGCGATAATTCCAGCATTGCTATCAACATCATAAACGTATTATAAAAAGATCAATTATTATTTTTTGGACTAAAGTTTTGAAATGTTCTTATAATTGTCATGGTTTGGATATGCACTTTGCAAAATCGTAAAATTTTTTGGATTCAGCTAAGTTCTAAAACTTGATAAAAATAATGAAAAAAATGCAAAATTTCAATGAATCAATGCTTTAAAAAACACTTTTATTTATTCAAGCATATAATTGCAATTTCCAGAAATAAAAAAATGCATAAAGTAAAAGTTATATATAGCAAAGAAAATAAAGTTTAGCTAATTATAATAATTATAATTAATTATTGAATATCAATTTTCTTTCTAGATTTATTATTTTCATCCTTTGGAATTTTAACTTCAAGAACACCATGTTCAAATTTAGCAGTGATATTACTAGTTTTAGCACTATGGGAAGAGTAATAGTACGGGAAAAACTTCCATAATGACGTTCTTGAATATGTGTACTTCCTCCTTTATGTTTTTCATCTTTTTTAGTCTCACCGGAAATTACTAACATATTTTCATGAACATCAAGATTGATTTGTTCTTTGGTGACACCCTATTTATATAGATCGAATTAATTAAATAACTATATATAAACTTTTAAAAAATAAAAACTAGAATAAATATAGGCTACATACTGGTAACTCGGCACATACAGTAAATTCATTTTCGCCTTCATGAATATCAAGAGGAACCCTACTGCTTCGTGTAACTGAATTTTTAGATTGTCTTTCAATATTGAGGTCTTTGAAAAAGTCATCAAATAGGCGAGACATCAAATTTTCGAATTGTCCAAGTGTATAATCAGGCCAGTATAAAGACATTATTGCTCTGTTTAAAAAGGTTGTTGTGATTTTTGTTTAAAGCTATTCAATTTATTCAATTAGTTTTGTTTTAAGAATTGGTTTGTTAATTTTATAGTTCGCTTTAACCTTGATTTATAAAAAAACTTTGGTCGTAAAAACATATATTTATATTAATTTCTCAAGCCTGGCGTAGTACTATTATTATACAGTATTATAAGTGATTATCATCATTTAATTTACCAGCTCCAGAACTTTCCACAAAAATCGGTGATCTATTGTGTACTGTACCTAAAAATGTTAACTTTCTAACTACGGTAGATAAAAATTGTTCCCACTATGTACGTAAAAACAGCCGTGAAAAGAAAATCGTCATTATTGTAGTATTGTTCAGTGCGGAGAACACTATTTCTACGTCATATGATTTTCATATTTATAGATACAAATTCTTAATAAAACTATAAAATGAGCATTTTTATTAAGGAAATCACTTTACAATCGCACAGTCGAACAATAATCAAGAGCAAAATTTTGACATTTTGCAAACTGCGATATTCAGATTAATTTCTTCATGTTTCTGGATCACTATGCAAAATTATTAAAGCTTTTGACTGTATATTTTGTAAGGAATTCTCAGAATACGGCACCTGCGCATTCGAGATAAAGGTCTATTCTCACTGTGCCACTTATTTCCTTAACGTTAAAATAATTTCCCAACAGCTAAGGTTGACCAGAAATAGATTTAAGAAAGTTATTTACGATCAAAAAAGCTTAGTTACGGCAATGTTGGCTACTACGATAACGCTTTAGTTATAATTGCATAATTTTTTTTGACGTACTGTAATCATACATCATCAAACTTTTACATCTACAATACCATTTGAAAAATTAATACAAGAAGTTTCTGCATAATGTCAATGTACAATAATAAAATAAATTCTTTGGATATGAATATTTTCTTATCCACTCACAACACTTATAAAGTGAAAAAAAAAGTCTAGACATATACTGGTGTAAATGTATGACGTAAATGAAACTCATTAATAAATAAATAAATAATAAAATCACCTTTTAAAGTTATTATTTTCTAAATCTCAAGTTTCAAGTACACACATCACAAATATGCTTTTCATTTAATTCAACCTCTAAAAAAAAAATTTTCAAAACAGCTTCTTCAACAATCATCCTATTAATTTCCGGAGCAGAGCGGAGGAACTTAAGTCTAGACATTAGTGAGAGAAATGGATTTAAGGGGGTGTAAAATTAGATAAAAAGTTTTTGAACTCAAATATTCGAATTATCAAATTAAGTCCAGACAT